ATAATGATGTAGATTTGGACCAACTTGATGAGAATTAGAACTTAAAGCATTTTGACTATTTGAAGAACTATGAGGAGGGCCTCCCTGGGCCATACCCATATTGGGAGACTGGACCAAGTTCTGTCGATTGCCTCCAGATAAATCGGTATGTCCTCCTGCCGGTCCAGTGATATTTAAAGGGGGGGCCTGGACCCCTGAATTCCCACTTCCAGAACCAGTAGTTCCTATTCCTGCACCACTGGTTGTACGACTTCCACCTTGTATCCAACTTCCTTCCGCTAATATAATATTTATTTTATATAATATATATATATATATAATATATACTTAATCTTTTCACTGTATAATATAAAAATCTTTTCACTGTATATTATAAATTGTATAATAATACAATTTTTAATATAATTTATATATAATCGTACTTTGGGGTCGTAAACTTGGACCAGGTCCATATTGTGCACTTAATTCTCGACTTGTTGTTTGTTGTTGCTGCTGTTGATGTGATTGTTGTTGGACTCCTGCTGCAGTTCCTGAATATCAATACATCAAACTTCATTATGACCATGTGATTGTTAATTCAATATTTTATCATTTTTTAATTTAAGATTTATAACTAATAAAATTAGGAATAATACATTATAAATTTTATCTATTAAAAAAAAACTATAAGTTAGTAATTCTCATTGATAATATTTAAAAAAAAATAATTTTTTTTATAAATCAAATATACAATTTTCTAATATATTATATATTTTCATATTTTATGCATAATTATCACATTATATAAATAATATTCCGTTTGCAGAATATATTTTATAATTTTGGAATCTTGAAATATTTATTAATATTTTAAATATAATATTTAAGTTTTTTTTTTAAAATTTAGTTTTATATATGTTATTTTTAATTATATATTTATATATTTTATTTTATATTTTATATTTTATATATTTTATTTTTAAATTTTTAATAATGAAATAATAAATTTAATTTTTACTTTATTTATATTTTACATTTCCTTTTTCATTTTAAGAAAACATAAAAATGTTATTTAATATTAATAACATAATAGAATTAAAAAAGAAAATTATATATAAATATATCATATAAGTAATATAAAATATTACATATTTCTCTTTACAATATATATTTTTCATACCATCTCCAGATCTGCTCATTATTGCACTCCATGATGATTTGTTGTTTACATCGGAAGAATATGAAGATTGTGAAGTATTTTGTTGCCCTGGGAGTAATGGATGTAATGATGGTGTTGTGACAGTTCCTGCTACACATTGTGCTGTTGAAGAATTTGCCTAAAAATAAAATAAATAAATATATAAATAATTATATTTATAATATATAATATATGTATGAATATATATAATGATAAAGTAATATATATATAATGAAAAAGTATAAGATAAACATAAAAAATAAACATAATATAAAAGAAAAACATAACAATTTTTTATGAATAAAAATTTATATGAAAAAAATATTGCTAATATTGTATTCATCATAACAATATATATTAGAATTATAGAATACAACAATATATATAGAATTATAAAATAATTCTGTACATTTCTTACATATCAATAAATAAATACTATAATGTCAAAAATTATTTATCAATGCTAGAAAATTCATTTAATAAATATTTATAAAATTACAGTAGATGTATCTGATGCGGTTACAGCTGTAGTAGTTGTAGTAGTAGTGGTAGTTGTCGACTCTTTAGTAGTAGCCCAACCACTTCCTCCACTTGGTACAAGACTGACAGCTGGATCGTTGCTGCTGTGTTCACTTTTTAAACTAGGCAGATTAGCTGGAGGTCGCCGTGCCGAAGGCACTTTTCCAAGACTTTGCATTCCATGTTTGCGTGGTAATGTATTTTTTTGTTGATGTTGTTCTAAAGATTCACCCTATAAGTACAAATCGGATACCAATTCCATTTTCCTTGAAATAATTATTTGATTTTTAATATTCTTAATATCAATAAAGATATATAATATATAGATATATAATAATATATATAATGAAAATATAAATTATATAAATAATAAAAAAAAATATATTAAAAAAGATAAGAAATGGAATATATACAGTAACATTCTGTTAATTGTAAAATAAGAACTAAAATATAATAATTATTTGGGAAGATATTTTGAGAAATGTTGGCTTTTTTTTATTTCATTTATTTTATTGAATCATTGAAAAAGGAAAAATATTTTTTATAAGTAAAATAAAAAAAAATGTATTTTATTTAATTTTCATTTTATAATATATTATATTTTAAATTTTTAAAGTATATATAGCTCAAAAACTGGAATCTCAATTTCAGGAATTGTTGGGGATTCCACAACAATTAAACAAATAAAAATTAAATAAAAAAGTTAATAAAATATTATTGTGTAAAAAAAAAGTAAAAGTCAAAGAAAAGACAAAAGAAATAAAAAAAAATAAATTAAAAGGGAGAAAAAAAGAAAAAAATGTTTGGCCAACTCACCCTACTCACCCGATACAAGCTATTGATGTCTAATGATTGAAACTTGGATTTTCCTTTCTCCCCCTTCGACACAAGCCCTGACAGAGTAGACATGCTGTCTGCAGGCAACCATTTAGTACCAATCAGACCCAAAGAACGAACCCTTTGTCTGAAATTATAAATAATATTTATATAGCTAATTTTATTAATATGTTTTTATATTCCATAACAATTTTCATTATTTCAAATTATATTTAATAAAATAAAAATAAAAATCATGAAAAATATTTCAAATAATTCTTTATCAAAAAGAATGTATCTAAAGAATGAATTTTTTATCTATGTGAATATATTTAAAACTTTAAAATTCTATATAATTTTAATCTATTTAAAATATAATAAAAAATTTATTAATATAAATTTATTAATATAAATTAATAAATCAACAATATATTTATATCAACAATAAATATCATTTATACATTAATAATATTTTTCTTCATAGAAAAATTTAAAAATATTTTAGATGAAAAGTTTTTTAAATGAAATTATATAATATTTTCCATCATAAATTGAAAAATAGATTGAATAAAAAATATTGTTATTATAAATACTACTATTGTTATTATAAATATTACTATTATAAATCTAATATTAATGTTTATAAATTTAATAACATATTTTATCACTTATTCAATTCATCTTAATGTCTTTTATATGATGGAAATAAAATTATGTGATTTCATTAAAAAAATTCAAGGTAATCTCTTGAGTTCATTATGAAAACAAACTATTTTTAATTATTAAAATATTTATAATTATTATGCATTATTCATTTAGATGAATTATGATTAATAATTTTTTTTATTATGCTTAATATTTATAAACATTAATATATAAAAAAATATTTTATATAAAGAAAAGATATTAAAAATATAAAGTTAATTTCTTTTTTACTTTCTATATATATTAAAATGAAAATGTTAATATATTTAAATTTTTCATTTTAAATTTACAAAAAGTATAAAAAGTTCTAATTAATTAAATGAGAAATTAACAATTGAAACAAAATCTACAAAAAAATATATATGTAGTTGTGTGTGTGTGTGTATTTTATATATATATATATATATGTAAGAAAACAAAATTAATTGCAAATAATAATCATAAAATTAAAAAAAATAAGTGGTAAATTACTCTTCATAAATTATTATATTAAAAAATATATATATTAATGATATAAGTACTTATAAAAATATGAAATTGATTGGAATAATACTTAAATATTGCAAAAGAGAAAAGATAACTCAATGCGTGAAATGCAAGGTAAAATGTAAAGTAGAAAGCGGACAAGTTTCACTAATTTTTATTATAAGAAGAAAAGGGATACACGAAATATAAATTAATAAAAAATAGAGAACAATCTACAAAGTAATGGATTATTTGAAATGAAATAAATGAAAATTATAATTAAGAATATATAGAATAATTGGAATATAAAGATTAAATTCAATTTTAAAATTGCAATGTCAAAATCATGAAAATTCAAAACAAAAAGATTCACGTCAAAGTGTATGTAAAATTTAATAAGAAAAACTTAATAAAATTAACAGCTTATTAAAATTTAAAAAATATTATATTATTGATATAAATTAAAAGAGAATTTTTGAAATTAAATGATCAGACCATAAAGTTGGATGTTTCTACTTAGAAAAAAAGATTTGGACGAAGAAGTAAATCAAAGAAATATGACTTGCCTTGGTCCGCTCCAAATGGGTTTCTAATTCACAAAAGGGTTAATTCCCAGTTAAATTAATTAATGTCCGGATTGTCACGGATTACAATTATTATAAGTGTACCGCGCCTGCGAGACACAGAAACTTCTTTTCCACAATTCGTTCAAGATGGCGAATGCGCGACTTTCGGCTCTTCTTCCGCGATCAATACAATTACGTCATGCAACCAAAGAGGAGCCGTTTGCACAGACGCGCCACTCGTTTAGGTTTTCTTGTCACTCTCTTTTGTAATAAATTTCACAATTAAGTTTTTTTCTTACTTATTATATAGAATATAATTTTATATTCAATTTAAATAATATTACATATGCTTTTTACAAGTTAAACCTGTGCCACAATATTCAATATCTTTTTTTACTTAACCGTTACTTGTAACAAGAAATGAGCGGAAGATTCAGCAGAAATAAGTGGCGCTGCTATGATTCCTTACCGTTTTGAACCAAAGTCAAGTTGGTTACAAATATTTGAATATCTTTCATAAAATAGTTTATATTCTTTATAAATGATGCAAATATTTCTTTATTTTACATATATTTTTCAATTTTTGTTATTTTCTCTATAATTTCTTTAAATTAATACATCAATTTAAATTTAATTTCATTTATAAATATATTCATATATTTGATTTGGTTGGTAATTCTATAAATTTTCAATATGGTAGCTTAAGTTTGCATATATACATATGTACATTTCCTTTTTTTTATATATAAGAATCTATCTTATTCTTTAAATTAAATTAATGAATGATTACAAATGATTGAAAATGGTATGATTGTTATTTTTCTATTGTTGATTTGAATTAGCTTTCATAATTACTTTATATATATATATATATATATTTATATATATATTATTATATATGTATATATATTATTATTATTTATATAATAATTTATATATATATATATGTCATAATCAATTTTTATTTACAGAGTGTAACATTACATACTGACATTGGGGATATAAAAATTGAATTATTTTGTGAGCTGTGTCCAAAAACATGTGAAGTAAGATTTTTTTCTTGTTTTGTAATAATTTTTAAGAATTATTTATATTGAAATAATTTTACAGAATTTTCTTGCATTGTGTGCTAGCAATTATTATGACAATTGCTTATTTCATAGAAATATAAAAGGATTTATTGTGCAAACTGGAGATCCTACACATACTGGTAAAGGTGGAACATCAATATGGAATCGTCCATTTGAAGATGAATTTAAAGAAGAATTAAGACATAATGCGAGAGGATTTGTTTCTATGGCTAATAATGGTCCAAATACAAATGGAAGTCAATTTTTTATAACATATGGGCCTCAACCACACTTAGATTTAAAATATACTTTATTTGGAAAGTAATTATATTTATTTTTAAATTTATATTAATCTTAAAGTTATTTAAATCTATTACATTTATGTAATTTATATAATTTAGTTATCAAATTAGTTGTTATTTTTTAGGATAATAGATGGCTTAGAAACCCTTGAACAACTAGAAAAATTGCCAGTAAATCCAAAAAATTACAGACCTCTTACAGAAACTCGAATAAACAATGTAACTATACATGCTAATCCTTTAGCAGGATAAATGTAAATGTGTTAATTAAATTTTATAATTGTTGATTATATTTGTTTTAAATTTTATAAATAATCTTTTAATAGAATCAAATATATTTTAAAAATAAAGATTCATTGTATATTGTTTTTTCATAGTTTCAATCTCATAATTACTATATTAAAGATATTCTTTTATTATATTTTCCTTTTCTGAATATTTGATGTACCTAAAATTAATATTAATTATAATTTTTTAACATAATATTTTATTTACCTATAATATTTTTATATCCATATTCTATTCTGTATAAATAATCAATAAGACATTTATTTTTATAAATAATTTCCAATGAAATGAAACTATCATGTTATCAATATCATTTTATTAATAATAAGAATATAAAAATTATATTTTAGAATATACCAATCTTTTATATAGATATGCAACAATTTCTTTTTATAGCAATTTTTCATAATTGATTAATTATTATTTTTTCTAAATATCTGCTAGTGATATGACAAATAATTCTAAGTTAGCTTCTATTGAATTATGATTTGTTCTAAAATCCAAATCTCAAAGAGTGATACTGATGACCTGAAAGATATATAATTATTATTAATGTTAATGATATATATTTATAAAATAAAAGTTAGTATTTTTCTGCTATTATATTACCATGTATTCTTTTCATAACTGAGACTATAATACTAATGCTTGATATGTTTCATTTTATATAATCCACTGCAATTTATTAAAGTTTTATAAATCAATTGACAAGATTATTTTGAAATACGTAATTCAAAATCAAATTCTCTAACAAAACTAAATCTAATCAAATGTATAATTTTGTTTTTAATTTTTACTATTTTAATTTGTAGTTGAATGATTTGAAAGATTCTGATATTTTATCTTCAATTAACATTTCTATTATATTTTTGCTATAAATTATATATTAATATCTAGACTTATTATATATTAATATCTAGACTTTAATAATCTAAATATAATATATTTATTACCTATTTTTCCTTGAACAGATAAAATATTGATATATTCAGTAACATTATGTATAGATACATTAAAGTCTTTTTCCATTTTACTTTTTTTATATGAACTTATATATAATAAGCTAACATGTTATTTGAAACTAATAACAAAAATAAAAAAATTATTATTTCATAATTTCTAATAGTAATGTTACAACTACATATAAAAGAAATACCAATATAAAAGTTTTTTTCTTTAAATATTGAATTTATAATTCCATCTAATTCAAATTTTAAAATTGTCATAGTGGAATCTACTTCTACTCTTCTAGTATAATTTAACACATGCAAGTATAAATTGTTTTATTATAATTACAATTTGTATTTGTTTTGTAAACAAATAATTTGTTGCTTTTTGAACAGGTTTATGAAAATAAAATTTTTCAAGATGAGACATGTTGAATAATGTAACATTTTTATAATAATTTTTTTTTTGAATCTAATCATTTAATATTTTTTTTTCTTTTTTTTTCTTTTCTTGGTATATTTATTTATTATTTTATTATATGAAAAATGAAAAATATATATATTTTTTAATATTGCATGATATTATTCTGATTTTTTATTAAACCATAATATTTATCATAATTATACAATATAATTTTTATTTTGTTAGTTTGAGAAAACCATCCAAGATGTTTTTAATTTTGACATTTCTCCATAGTAACATCTTTTTCAATAAGTAACTGCAATAAATAGATTATATACAATAATTTATTTTTATCTATCACATATTCATAATTTAATAAAATTAAATTACATCATAGAAAGAATCCATTTTTAAATTTCTTTCACTTAATAATTCATTATGTGGGAATATATTATAATTTTTTGTGAATTCATAAAATCTTTTAGTTATCCAAATCAAATTGTTTTTTTGTTCTGGTAGAAATCTATGAATCAATAAATAAATATAAAATTTAAAATATTAATAGAATAATATTAAAACAAAATGATAAATTCCATTTTCTGATATCATAATTGAACATATATTTGGCCATCCATTAATTATTTAATATGCAATTTGTTCTCCCAATATCATTTTAGCATTATTATAAACACAAAAATTAAAAAAAAATCCAGAACAATGAGGATCTTCATTTTTTGAATTCAATAAAATAAAAATCAAAAGAAAATGAAAAATAAAAAATATGCAATACTGATGATAATAGATGATTTTAAATAACTATAATTGGTTTATAATCAAAACTAAAATCTAATTTTTAATCTATATATTGTAATTTTTATTTCAATTGTTGATAATTTAAGAAATAATTGAATTGTTAATTCTATATATATATATTGAAGATTCCAATTTAATTCATAAATGGGAAATCTTTACAAATCTTTTATGTAAGTAAAATAATTAATAAATTAATAAATTATCTTACATTACATATATTAATAAAATTGTCTTTATAAAATTAAATTATAATGAAGATATTAATTAATTATTTATTAGACTTACAAATTGCAATAAGATTCTATTCATAACCACCTATACCTACAACCATTGAGTTTTTTTGAATATTGAATAATGAATATAATTCAAAAATATAAACTTATATCAGAATATTTGGAGATTTTGCAATCCTTTTATAGGTTTTGTAATAATATTAAGCATGCTTAATTGATATTAGAAGAATATTAGTATTAATCATCTTTGCTACATTTTTGGATCAAATTTCAATAACATTAAGAACAATATTTGTTTTTTATTATATGTTATGTATTATATGTATTATATGTTTTTACATGTTGTTTGTTATTTCTACACCACAAACTTTTTATTATTTTTAATAGTTTCCATTGTGATTATCTTCAAAATTAGATAATCTTCAATAATTTAAATAATATTAATTATTTTATACACATTTTTTATTGATTATTGTTCTTATTTAAAAAAATAAAATATATATTAAATCATTTTTATCTTATAATAATCATTTATAATCATTTTTTTATTAATTTTGTCAAAGCGTTTATTAATAAAGTTGAATCAATAATTACTATCTTTTTTAAATAAAATGCTTTTTAAATATTTTTTTCATTTAATAAAAGAAATAATTTTTTAGCTTCTTAACCAAAAATTAAATTGATTTGAATATTGAAAGCTTTAGAACTAATAACTTTTATATTCATTTAATCGTTCCTATAATATATAAATATATATATATATATATATATATATATATATATATATATGTATATATATGTATATACATATCGAAACTACTAATAAGAAAAATATATAATTGAATACTGATATATCGGATAAAAATCTGAATTCAAATTTATTACTTATAAACGAAATCGAAATTTAATTCTAATGTGAGTCATTTAGAACTAGAAGTTTTTTTGTATTTTATTGAATATAATAAAGAATAATAAATAAAAAAAAATAAAATAAAATAAAAATATAAAAAGAAATAAAAATCTCAATTAATTTCATGATATATGTAAGAGAATTTTTCATATTTATTGCATTTATTTATCCGTAAGTTAGTATTTATCCATCTATTCTACATTTGTTTCGTGTTGATATTTAATTATTATTATAATAATAATAATGAAATTAAATATATATAAATTCATACAATGGCAGAAATATATTAATTTTTTTATGGAATAAAAAATCAATGAAAATAAAATACCGATAATTTTAAATATCTGTTATAAAAGTTATACTTATATTCAATACATAGTAGTTAAAAAAAAATAAAGAAAATAAAAAATTAAAATAATAAATATTATTCTAGAAATCAGTGCTTATAAATATGCTTAATAAAAAAAATTCTTAAATAATTTCATAACTTAATGATCATAGTTGAAAATTATGGCTTAGATAATTTTATGATTATTATAATATTATAATGATTATAAAGAAAAAAATGCAATAAGAATAATGGATAATATATAATATAATAAATATAAAAACGAATATTTATATTAAAAGCTGCAATATAAAGTTTATTATTTTTCCATCCTGGATTTATATTTTTCCAAAGATATATTATACATATGTCTTGTAATATTTAGTAATTCTATTTTAACATCACTTGGATCACTTTATATAAGATACAAAATCAATAATGTGCCATGTATGTATATTAGATATAGATAGTATAGATATTAATTTTGATTTGTCTAACAGAATAGTATCATACTTTCCTAGATGATAAAGAGCATTATAACTGCATTACCTGCAATATTTAAATTATTTTCTATATTATGTATAAGATATTAAATAAATTTTATTATTTACTTATTGTTACATCTGGTAATTTTGTTGCAGATAATAAATTCAATCTCGTATAATTAATATGTAACTGAAAATTTAAAAGCTCTAATATAAATTAAAACAAATACTTATTGTTAGAAATACCTTGTGTTTTATTAAACAAATCATATTTTTAATGAGAAAAAAATATGAATTTATATAATATTTTTATAATATTTCAATATTACACTTTGTATTGTAAAAAAAAAACTATTCTAATATATATTTTATCGTTTTAATGACCATGTTTATGAATTCATATTATCAATTACTCATTAATCTTCAACAATAATGATTTGTTTATATTAATGCTCAATTACACAAAAAAAAATCAAGAAGTAATATTTTTATTAAATTGATATAAAAACATAAAATACTTTTATTAATTTATATCTTTATTTTATAATTTAAGAAGTATAATCATAGAAAAAAAATTATTTTATTTTTTTCATATATTGTTTAATGAACACAATAGAAATTATTTATGATTAATTTTTTGTTTTGCGAAAAAACAAAAATTAATTTTTTTAATTATAATATCAATCGTAATGTTAAATTTAAACATTAAAAATTTCACATATATAAAATGAAATTGTATATCTAATACATGAAAGTATATAGATAATTATATTCAAATATAAAAACAATATACACAGTTTTCTAATTATACAGATATTAATATATAAATATAAAATAAATAATAATATTGTGTAACACAAATAACATATACGAATAATACACTAGAGCATTCTTTGATAATAAATAGTTTTTAATAATACTTTAGAATGTCAGAATATTGTCGATAATAAGCAATATAACTTTTATAATACAACTTGAATTATTCACGCGCGCATGTATGAAAAAAAAATAAAAGAGAAAGAGTATACTTCTTAAACTTAACAGATTAAATATCTTATCTTATTAAATATCTGGTTTGAAACTAAATTTAACGGAAAAATTCTTTTTTTGATAATTATTAAAAAAAAATTAATAAAAAAAATTTAACATAATTGCATAAAAAAATAATTGGGGGATTAATTTCTTTAAAGCGAAATATATTCTTCGCTAGCAAGACTGTCTGTTTCTTCAGTATCTGAATTGGTTGCAGCTTGTACTCTAGCATATTCATCTGTATCAATACTCTTACAAAAATGTATCGCATATTTTAATTTTTGTTGTAATACTGGTTTACAGGAGTATCGGGGCATTTTCAAGAGAAAAAAACATGTATAACTTTCAGGAAGAAAATGATCTGGCGGATTATATTTATCCATTACCTAAAAAAAAATAAATATAAACAGCAAATAATTATATAAATATGATGAAAATATTTTAATAAATACTTGTAAGACAAAATCTCTTCCTCGAAAGTCCGCAATTGTACGTGGTAAACGAGTTCTACCCCAAACAAATCGTAGAAACAAAGATCTTTCTTGATTGGAAAATTCTTCCATTACTTCCCAAAACCATTGTATTAAAGGAGCTGTTGCTTCGATCCCTAAGAAATAAATATATAATCAGAATTGAAAAATTAAATTATATCATAATATGTATTGTTGTTTATACCTTTATAAGTTGCAACTGATTTTAATAAAGTGAGTGGAATATCTGGACTGCCACAAACCATTGTTTCCAGTTCAGGTCCACTAAATAATGCGAGAAAAGGTACAGGTATAACTTTTGACATTCCTTCGCGAACGGCAGATACTTGAGTATCAAATTCATGTAATCTATAATTTAGAGCTAATTGGACATATTCATGTTTATTTTCTGGAGTGATTTTTCGATATCTGAAAAAAATAATTAATAATAATAATATCGTTTTTACACAAGTTTAAGCAAGCAATTTTAAAATTATTGTATCTAAAATTATAAATTTTACACTTTTAGATAAATAAATATCTGTTAAAAAACTTTATACAAAATTAATCTTAATCTCAAAATTCAAGACCAAAATTTTTTTTATTTCAGATATTCTTACTTATATATTTATTTTATTTTTCAAAAGAACCATAATTTATAATTTAATCATTTTTTGAAAAATAATATTAAAATTCTATTATTTTTTAAATAAATTTTGTTTATATTTTTTATATATTTCGAATACATCAGCCATAGCGAAAATTTACACTTATAGTAGATTATTAACATTTTTTTTAATTATTATAATATGTAAGTAAAATTTGATTTTATATAAAAGAAATTTATATATTAAAATGCCCGGCACAATAAATATTATTTATAAATTTTTGATATATGCATATAGAAAGTTTTATCTGAAATAAATAATAAATAGTGCATTACTAATAAAATAGCAAAGAATTATTTTTCGCGCACGCGAGTATGTATGTGAAATTCAAATTAAAATTATAAGGAATATTTTGTCTATATATATAAATGTGTTCTATAAGGATCACATTTATATTTTTTATCTTTAAATAAATTTCTATATTTTTTATCATATATTCTTGTAATTATATTTATGTTTATTAATTATTAATATTTGAAGATAATCAATAATTCAATAATTTTTTTTATAAAATTTCATTAACAATTCTATTCTCAATTCTATTCTATTCAATTCTGATGAGACCTATTGTTTTTACATTCTATAAAGATCAAAGTGCAAAAAGAATTGATTTGGATTTGTTTCAATTGAAATGTCATAGCTAATTTAATTATAATTGATAAAAATTTCAGCGTTTCGTGCATGTTTGTAGATTTTTGCATTTTAGACATTTATGAGATTTTAAGAAATTTTGTTAAGAAAATATTTAGAGTTTATATTATTGATATTTGAGATGTATATGCTATACAATAGGTAAGGTTCAAGAATAATGTAAAATATTTTTTACTTATAATTTTAATTCGATAATTACAAATTGGAGACATTTTTAAATAATTGTAATTTCATAAAAAAGAATGCTTTTTTAATATAGTTTCGCTTTTTTTTTGAGAAAAATTATCATATTTTCCAATACAAGTTATAATTAAAAAAAAATTTTTATCAAATATAAGAATAACAATTTCAAAAAGAATGTCAATTAAAATAAAATTAATCTAACATATTAAATAGTAAAAAATTTAGGTTTTAATTTTCGTTTCTATCATATCCAATTTCTACAAACTTATATATATCTACAGAGTATTATAAAATTTGATATTTTTTTAATAATACTTTACTTCAATTTTTAGATAATACTTGATTTATCTTCTAAGCAAATAATTACATTTTTCAATATTTTTATATATAAAAATTATAGAAAATATTATAGTTATGTGCACTTAACAAACAAGAAAATTTTGAAATTTGATATATTTCTGTTTTTATCTTCTTGATTTCAATAAAATGGATTAAAATTAGAAAGATCAAACTTTAAAATGATTTTTAAAAGTTTTTATAAATTTCAAATGAATTTTAGTAAAGTTATCACAGTTTAAAGATTGAACAAATTTGAAAATAATTTTATCTGATTTTTCGATACAAATATTATAGATTATTGAATTATTAACTATTATATTTAACTATATTTAACTTACTGATTCTTTTAACATAAATGAATTAAACATAAATTAGTATTATGATCATTAAGAGAATCAAAATTTTCGTCATGTGATTTTTTTGCTATTAAAATACTTAAAATAAATAACTTTCAATATACAAATTATTAATATAATTTAATTTTTATGCTCATATATAATATAATATATGAAAATATATGAAAATTAAAATAATGTATTCTAATATTAACTAGAATTTACATTATATTATTATGAAATATTATGAAATATATAGATTCATAATATATAAAATCCGATCGAATAACATTATTGTATTAACATTACCATTAATACAATAATTAATAACTTAACAAATGCAATACAAAATATGCAATTATTATAATTATTTTAAAAATACATAGATAGTATTTTGAAAATATTTTGATATTAAAAATATTTATAAGAATATATAATAAAAAATATAAAACTCTATTCTATTAAAAATTTACGGATGTATAATGTACGGATGTATAATAAATAAATGTGACTTTTATAAAAAATTATAATAAGATCAAATATTATTATGATATATGATATATGATATATGTCTCTTGATATCATTTAATTATTATCTCAAATATTTTTCTATATTTTTAATATTTGGAAATATTATTATTAAATCATCCTATCCCTTAGTAATAATAATTCAAACGAATGATTTTAATGTATATGTGTGAATATACATATATAATATTATACAATATAATATTTTAATTGCATATACAAATATAATATTTTAATTTATTTATTAAAATTGTTAATCTATTAATTTTTATTTGTAAGAATCATTTCTTATAATTGAGATAATTTTTTTTCAAAATAAATTTTTAGTCTTTCTTATTAAAAAACTTATTTAATATTAATTTATATTACTATTTAAAAAATTACTATTTAAATTTTATAAAATTTAATAAAAATAATAGTAATTAATAAAAATTTAATAAAAATAATACTTTAGTGTTGATTTCAAAGAATATAATGAATTTAATGTATATTTAATGTTAGATTATAATGAATTTAATACATTGTTTAATTTTTGTTATTATTACATTCGTTATATATTATTATCATATATCAATGCTCAGACGATTATCTACATTCGAAAAAAAAATTATTTACGGTTTTCAAACAACAATGCTTTATGTATCAAAGCTGGATATTGTTTATTTAATTCTTCTCTAAACTATCGATTTAATTTTGTTTTTAAAATGTAATAATAAATGTAATAAAATGTAATAATAAATGTTAATAATTTTTTATAACTGAACTTTTAATATTATTTATGGGATTATCTAATAATTGCATATTCAAAATGTTAATATATTTATGTAACTTTGAAAAATCGATTTTTCTAAATCATAAGAATCAAAGTTTGCATTAAACGAAATAAGATGAAAATAAAATCAAATTATTTCTATTCCGTTATACTCTATTTCTTTCTCATTTCATCTAACTTAATGTGAACTTGTTTATGTTATGTGAAATTGTTTATAACTTAATAATATATTTTTATATACAAATTTTTATATTTGTTTTGATTTTTACAATAAATCCTTTAAAAGTATTTCAAAAATATATTAATATCTTATATATATATTTAAACCGAACATAAATATTTTAGAATTGATACAAAAAATAATATAATAATATAAAAACCTGCTAGACAAAGATACATCATGTCCTACAGCCGACGGCGTAGAAAATGGCATTTCAAGTGTTTGAAACATTTTTTCGTCAGGATCCATATCTCGAATGCATAATAATCCGGGAACATAATCCCTATCAATTTCAGTTAAATCGGCAGGTGTTAACGATATACCCGCAAGTTGTTTCCACACAGGTTCTGCCAAATTCAAACTCAATGGGCTACCAGTTCGTATAGCTATACCCATTAAAATTCCAAGAAATCGAAACATGTTCATATGTAATGGTGAATCAGCTATTGGATTCAAAAGAAAACAATCTCTATTAGTGCCACTATCATCTCGACCATTTGGCGTTGGTATAAGTAATGGTAAGGAACCATTTTGTAATTCATCGCACATTTCTGCTATACTCTCACTATATCCGCCACCGCAATCATCTACGCTCTCTCCTGTTGAGAATGTGAGATGATTTCATTAATTTTTTTAACTATTTTTAAATTTTTTTTCCATATTTTTCTTTTTTTGTTTTATATTTATATAGTATATGTTTTATATTTATATAGTATTAAAATTTTTAACCTACCGATGAATTTCACTTTCCAAATTCTATGAGGAAAAAAGAGAACATCCTGTGTTAATAAAGATATTTTCGAAACCATTTGACCGAAAACAGATTTAATACCATCTGGTCCAGCCAATCCACCTTTGCTTCTAGCTCGTTTTACTTGTATTCGATTTAATTCTATTACTGGTCCGTGTTGTCGATCTCTGACCATCGTTGCTTGAACCACTTTACGGAAAGTTGCTTCTTTGATGCTATATACTAGTATGGGTGCTAATTTACTCAAACTAACAGGGCCAGTAATTGGATACATCGGCAAACATGGACAAAGTAATTCAGCAAAATGATGAAGAAGCACTAATCGATTGTGTAGCACAGGAAAGGGTAAATCTTTTACTAAATCATACTCCATTGGTGTAGTGGCAGGCATTTTACTTTGAGTAGCTTTCATTGTACTCCATGCCAAAGTGTGAGCACTACCACAAGCAACTCGAGTTATTTTTTTACCCTGCAATGCATGAACTAATCTTGGTCTCTGAAGCGCACTTGTTGTTCCATCGCCCAACTGGCCTTCATCATTGTCTCCCCAAGTGAAAACTTCTCCTTTATCGGTACATGCTACACAATGTAATGAACCAGTTGCTATAGAAATGATTTTTTTTCCTTGAAGTGCTGCCACTTTACGTGGCCTTCGCACATGATCATCTGTTCCATGACCCAAACGATGATAATCTCCTTTACCCCTGTTTACGTATAAAATTTGATAATTATCTAAAAATATGTAATTATCTAAAAATAACTTAAATGTAGGAACCAAACAAAAAATGAAAGATGGTTAAGAAAAATGAAGGTTAAAAAAATTCAATTTTTTAGCAATATAAAGAATTAGAATATATCCTCTGTTTTTTTTAATTTTTCTTTTTTAATTCCTACTTAAATGGATAGAATGAAGATTTTACATACGAAAGAATTTAAAATCATTGAAAAATTGATCATTTGAATTTTTACCATGTATATATTGCTCCTGATCTTGTCAATGCTACCGAGAATTGACTGCCGCATTCAACTTTAATGACACCAAGTCCTGCGAGAGATTCGATCTTCATTGGAATTTTACAACCATCGCTACCTCCTCTACCTAGTTTTCCGTAATCTCCATCACCCCAACTCCAAACATTATCATCATCAGTAACACAAAGGGTTTGCGCGTCACCACTTCCACATGCTACATCAATTACTTTATAATCTTGTAAAGCTTCAATTAATTTGGGCGTCAATTGATCTTCGCTATCTCCATGTCCTAATCGTCCATATCGACCTAAAATTGATAATAATTATATATATGTATGTAATTATGTATATGTATACTTGTATTTATTTTCTTATTTTTCAACATTATTGGTTTTTATTTTTTTATCCATACCTTTTCCCCAAGTATAAAGCCAACCAGCGCTAGTGATTGCCGCGCTATGATGACCACCACAAGCTATATCAACAATTTCGGTACCCAATAACTCTTCAATTAATTTCGGTCGATCATACGATAATCTGTTTCCATGTCCTAATTTTCCATCATCTCCTTCTCCCCAAGAATAAACGTGTCCTTCAGAACTTAAGGCAAGGCAATGTTTACCTCCTGAATTGACAGCTACTTTTTTAACGAATACATGCTGAATGGATTCCAAAAGTGTGGGTACCATAACAGAATCCGTTCCTCCAATTCCTAGACGTCCAACAGCGCCATATCCTATCCAATGATAAACAAAAAATAATAAATAAAGATAATAAATAAAATAAAAATTGAAAAAAAATCCAAAAAAAAAAAGAAAGAGAAAAGAAGGAAGAAAGGAAAATTTACCAGTTGCATAGACTTTTCCGTCAGCAGTAACTGCAAATAAAGTTTGCTCTCCACCGGTAAGCTGGACAGGTCGAAGTGCAGACAAACTCTCGCAAAGAACAGGTAATTTCACTTTTGCTCCTTCAAGTCCACCTAATTGTCCGCGATGATTATGACCCCAACCATAAATGGCACCAGAACCATCCCATGATAACATCCAATCTTCCGGCCTACGATTTAACCATTGTAGTAATTGCTCATCATGTTCCTGTTTGAATAACTCATGATTCTCATGGTCTTTGGTATTTCCTTCTTTGTCTGTTATCATTTCATTAATCTGTTTGGTAACTTCAAGACAGAATGATTTTGGAAGAGACGTCCGATTTATAAGAGATTTGGCAACCCGTATGGAAAGACAGTATCTTCGAAACCAAGACCATTTGTGAATTTCCGAACAACATTGCATACCATCCAATTCAAGGTCGCAGGCAAGAGCTACAAGAACCTTGAAAAAATCGCTATGCATTAATTGTTTTCCACCGCGGACCAAAGGATCTTCATAAGTATATTGTTTCAGTAGTGCTTGAGGCAATGATCCGAGAAGTGATGAAAGTGCGATTTCCGGGCGTATACCTGGTCCAGAAGAATAGACGACTTGTAATTTTTTTAATGCCCACATTCGTTGTTGAGCAGACAATACGCTTAATTGACTACATTGAGCTAAGGTAGTTGTTAATCGTGTCGCAATATTTCTATCCAACGTAATCAAAGTATTATCCAGAAGAGATTCAGCAAGTGCAATAGAAGGTTGCGATAGAACTGCTCTATCCGAGATTAGATCATGCGGTGCAAGGCTCGCAAGCACAGGATATACTGTAAATCGCCATCCCCAACCATTTACTGATCCGTCCGAAGAAAATCTCCATTTAAGCTCATCACCTGGAATTCGAATCTCAGCAGCCCATTCACTCCATTCTCTGCCAGACTTCACAGCCACCACTCGATTATTACTGTCCATAATAGTGAGCGGATCGTGGCGTCTTTCGGTGGAACAACGTCGATCAAATTCAACTCTAAGAGCTTCTGCACCTGATATTTTAACATGACCAGTCAATGTTGTACCATCTATGTATGGATGTGGACTTTCTTGTACTATCGGTTGTGGTATATTGCTTCTATTATTCGAATTCGCTACTGTATCCTCCAATTCTGTGATACAAATTTCTAGCACTATATTACGAATCGAATGATTTACTTTTGCTAGTGCGATCAATACCGAAGATATTATCTCTTTAGCTCCTTTGCATACTCGATTAGCAACGGCTAATTTTAATAAATCAATCAACATTTTACCATCCTCTTCAGTCAGAGTACATGTAAAATCATCCAAATTACGATCTGAAGCAACTCCTTCGCCAACTATTTGCGCGTTAGATGTAAGAGTTGCTGCAATCACGCTCATTGCGCTGCTTGACATTTTTGAGGCACGTGAGGATAAACTAGCGGAACTGGACATCGAAGGAAAAACAGTTGCTAATGGATAATCTTCAGATTCGGGACTTGTTCGCGGACTATTATTTATTAAATTAATAAGTTCTGCAGCATTTGCTGGTGCTTCTCCACCACCTTGTGCACTATCTCCCACATTCTGATATACATGATTATGTCCTCCACTAATGATATTCGATCCAGTAATTGTTCCATCTGGTATCATTTCAGTTATCGGACAGCATTTACTATTGTTAATACCAATATTGCTATTAGCTAATTTTAATGTTGAATGACTTTGCAATGCCGTAACTACAATGATTCGAGCTTGTATTATACGAAGTGCATTTATCACATGTTGTAATGCTTGCTGCTTCGCTACATTACTTTCCAACGAGAGAATAATGCTCGAGAGAGAAGGTCTGTTGCTGGAGGAAAAAGTGGACATGTTAAGGATTATGTCACCATTATTGATAATATCGCCGCTTAGTTGAGAAACAGTAGATGTTTTAGAGCAAGAAGGAATCGGATAATTGCTTAAATCAGTTGCTTCCAATCCGGTGATAGTGCTTTTAAATGTAAGCAACATTTGACCTAGTGGATCCTTTATAGTTGGAAATGTGACTGGTTCTTGATTATTAATCGCTGGTTGATCGGTCAAAACCCAAGCAATGCTATGACTGGAACCACAAGAAACACGATTTACTCTTGCATCATCAAGTTCATGAACCAATGATGGCTTCTTGTTAACGATTGTTGTACCGTTTCCCTGTTGACCATGATCGTTATCACCCCAAGCATATACTTGTCCGATATCCGTTACCGCTAAACAATGAAGAGCACCAACAGCGACGTGTATAATTTTTTTCCCACGAAGTCCTTCGACCAACGTTGGTTTTCGAACATGATGATCGTTACCGTGACCGAGTCGAAAATAATCACCTTTACCCCAAGTCCATACTTCACCATATTTAGTTAATGCAAGGGAAAATTGAGCTCCGCACTCGATTTGCACCACTCCCAAACCATTAAGTCGATCAATCAATAATGGTGTATAACAACCATCGCTACCTCCTCGACCTAGTTTACCGAAATCTCCATCACCCCATGAATACACCAATCCATCTGCTGTCAATGCCATTGTTTGTGCATCTCTGCTACCACATGCAATCTGTATTACACGCTGACCAACTAAAGATTGTACCAATTTTGGTTTTGATTGTGTTGCAGTATCGCCATGACCCAATCGTCCATATTCGCCTAAACCCCAGGTATATAATTCTCCACTACTAGTTATGGCAGCTGAATGACCCGATCCACATGCAATATCTCGTATTCTTTTTGATTTTAAAGATTCTATTAATCTTGGCTTATCTAAAGAGATGGAGTTTCCATGGCCTAACTTGCCATCTTCTCCTTCACCCCAAGAAAATACTTTACCATCTTGGGTGAGAGCTAACGCATGTTTTCCTCCTGAATGTACAGACACTTTCTTGATTACGTATTGACTCAAAAATGGGATAGGTTTCGGTTCGCATACATTGCTATCGTCTCCAAGGCCAAGACGACCATTCGTACCTTCTCCGCATGCATATAATTTTCCTTCTTGACTAACAACAAATAGAGTTTTACTACCACCAGCTATGTGAACGGGTTTCAATTTTGAAAGAACTTCGCTATAAACGGGTAATTTAATCTTCGATCCTTTTAATCCTCCGAGTTGATCTTTATCGTTTAATCCCCAGACATAAACAGCTGAATGCTGAGGCTGTGGTTCAGATCCACGTTGCGAGTTCATTTGCTCTTGAATGATCTCCCAATCTGAGGCTAGAAATGAAATGGACGTTGCTAATTGATTCTCAAATACTTTTCTTTTGCCAATTATTTGAAGACCGCGTATTTTACAATCTATACCACCGTTTCGACATTGCTTTATTGCTATTTCGATACACGGATAATATTCTTTCATATCTTGGAGTAAAAGTACACTTGTGTCAGTATGCCGTACACTGATTGTTGCCAATTCTACTAAACTGTTGAATGATTCACCGACATTTATTGCAATCAGCGATGGCATATAACTGCCATCTTGTGGATTTACAATTATTTTCAATGAATGAACTAATATACCAGACAACATTTCCATACGAATCCAATGCTTTCCCTGAGGACTCTGCCAATATAGACCAGATCCATCGAATAATCGTGTTGCCCAGCTTTGTGGTGAAGAAACTCTTAATGTTCTTATACATTTAGACCAATCATCGATTAGAGATGATTCTATATAATCTTGTCTATGATATCTTCCCGGTTTACCGGCATATACCGCTGCTGAGCCTGGCTCGACGATTCGATTGAAGCCATGTCGATGACATCGTTTCGTATAAAAACAATTTTCACAAAGATTATAATTTTCGCAATACTTGCATTTAAAACGTGGACCAGATATTGGTAGCAAGTGACAAGAATTACATGAGACTGAATGATGACAGGAAGGCACTCGCTCTATTTCTATCGCACAACCAGTCCAATTATTTTGCTGCGGAAAATCAATAGCCACGTCTTTCCCATTGTTTATTATACCTGTAACTATTCCGATGCTTTGATGATTCACTGAACCCCATTTGTATTTGGGCACAGTCACTGATGCTTTTACTCTTACTTTGTCACCAATTTTTAGTGTGGCTGGGCCTGGAATTATTGGCGGATGACCAAGAAGTTCAATATGAATAAATCTTACCCAATAAGTTCCTCCTTTGCGTTGCCATGCGACTTGAACATTCAAATCGTGTAAACCTTCCGGATCAATTTTTATAACTTGACCAATGTCGCCGTATTCTACTTCTTCGTAGCTTTTGCAACATCTTACTAACATACCTGGTATCAGATTATCCCTTACATAAATCGCGTATTCATCGACTGATAAGAAATCAGAACGTTTCATATAATTTGGTGGTATTATTGAAGAAGAAATAGCTTCGTGCGTCGATGGAGATTCATCAATATTTTCACTAGTTGAATCTTCAGGATCCGATAATCCATATATACTTGATAACGTTTCACTGTCACTTAATGCAGCATCTGGATTTTCAAGAAGCCAAGCTACCACGCTTTCTGCTGTAATAAATCCAACAGCCGAACTCAAACTTTTAATCGCAAATTCTACACTTTTCTTTGGAAAACCCATTTCTATCAATTGGGCAACTAGTGGACTCATCGGTAAAGGACTTTTTCTTCCAGTACTTTTGCAATGTTTTTTTTGACTAGATGTCAACGATATCAAAGAACAATCAGATACAGGAGACTCAGGCTCTGAAAATGGGCCTGCAGTTGTTGCCATACCTCCTACTGAAGCTGATCCTGATGCTGTGCCCGTGATTATTATGTTTGTTACTTGAATTAAAGAGTGTCTTAGTTCAGAGGCCAAATATTGAGAAACTGTAAGTGCAGCCTCTTCCAATTCTTTATGTTTGAATATGGGTTTTAATGGTTGTGGTTTTGTAGCTCGCGTCAGCATTTCTTGGAATAGAGTTGTTCGTTTGTTACGATAATCTTCTCTACCATCAACGTTGGTTTCCTCATAATTATCCTCGCTATTTATGTCTCGATTAATAACATTACTAATTCCATGATTTTCAAATTTGTCATCATTGTTATTATTTTTGTTCTTATCATTGCTATTATTACCATTGTTTCTCGTACTGTCAATTACAATTACTCTCGCATTGTCATCTTCATCGTCATCGTCATTGTCTTCATCATCCTCATTTTCTTCTTCATTTTCATCAATATCGTTGTTATCATTGTTTTCACCGTGATCCTCGTAAGCACGATTGATTCGATTAATCTTATCCCATCGTCGACCATCAATCTCGCTATTATTCTCATCATTGATATGATCACCAATTTCAATTTGACGCTGATGATAATGGTGACGATAATAGTAATGGTGAGAATAGTGATGATTGTTATGGTTATTATTGTTATTACTATTGTTGCTGATATTTTTGTCGATTATATATTTTAATATTTTTCGTAATTTTGTTTGATAATTTAATATAATTTTTCCGGCATTTAATGCAGCGAGTTGTTGTTGTTGATTACGTAAAATGGATGCATTTACTGAACCAGCTATTACTGGCATACCATTTGGTCTTTTATCCATGCTTCGATGACCCAATAACAAATTAGCCCAAGTAGAAATGAAAGAATCAGGCATAGGCATTCGATCTAAACGAAACTTTTCGCTAAGCTGTCTCACCCCAAAAAATGGAATTTTCTTGCGCGTACTAGCATTGTTATCATCATGTATTTGTACAAGTATTTTTGAATGTTTAGTAAATTTGCATATAGTACCTATATGACCATCGATTTCGATCAAACCACCGATCCTTGGTCTATCGTCAAGACCTCCAACGACAATAAGAGTTGCCATCACTGTATCCTGAATGTTTATACTGTTCTCACCTCCATTTTCATTTAATTGTATATGAAACAATGGACCGTCACTTAACAAATCAGAAGCGAGTGATAATTTTGAGGCAAGAAAAGAATTCAAAGTCGCATTCCACTTTGAAAGAGAATGTAGATATCTAATTAGTGAAATCAGTTCTTCGACTACAGTAGAACTATAAGAAGCAGTTAATGAAACGCGACATTTATTCGAATAAAGTTCAAAGTTAGTACCCAAATCGCAGCTAAGCGCAATATGTCCCAATATACGAAAAATTTTTTCAAGGAAAGACATTTGACTAGGACTGTCAGTTGACCAAGATGGTAGAACAGCGGTAAGTAAACGTACCGTCATTATCTGCTTTTCTAAATTTGGATTTCTTTGTTCAGCTATTATATTTAAAAGAAAATCAATCCATGCCTTAGTACTTAAAGATTTACAAAGTTCGGTAGATTTAGCAATAGCTCTTAATAAGCCGAGAGTTGCCCAAGTTTCATGATGTTCTTTTGCAAGTTGAGAATGTGTATTAAAATCGGATTTATACGCGAGAGATAAGATACCGCGTAATACAGAAGCGAGTATCTTTATAGCAGAAGGAGTGACTCTATCAGCTTCGATGCCACAACAAAGTAAGATAACACGAAGTACGGTAATAGAGGCAGATTTCAGACAAGTAGTCGGATGGACATCCACAAAATCATTTCCCTTATCGATTTTAGCCAGATCTTGTGGTGAATCAATTTCACTATCGGTTTCTGGTGGCGTCGGTGGTTCAGCTAATTTTAAGTCATATTTTCCTTCTTTACCCATACGATATGAATTGGTAGTACCATTATCCCATTGTACACGAATCCAACCATCTTCCCCAAGTTCTCCGATTACTCGGCCTTCACCCGGTGCAGGTCCATCTTGATCACCCCACTTCCAGTCAACGCCGCGTACTACTCTTGTACCTATTTTCATCAAAGCCGCCAATTCAGCACCAGTTAGTTGAACAGTTTGCGGTTTATTCTTTTCAAAACTATCTTCGTATATGACATTTACCGGCATATCTTTTGGTTTTGCGTCTATGTTCATATCCGCATCTATACCTGGCTCTGTAGACATTGATGGTCCAATCTGTCTAAGCAATGTCAAAATGCTTGACATGCAACCGGAATTTATTAATAATCCAATCTCATTTGCATGCTGATAATTGCTTAACATTCCTAATATCGTTAATAAAAATCTTGCTCTGGGTAATTTTCGTAACCAAGTATATGTTCCTTGATTCAAACTACTTTTATCGCTTATTTTTGGTTTACTCGGTATCTCTGCTTGAATAACATATGCTCGCAATGCTTGCACTGCCCAAGAAATTATTTCCGCTTCGGCTAAAATAATCTTCGACTTTTGATATGGTGTTACTGATTGAATATTTTCAAGACAATGCATTATTCCATTAGTCAAAGATTTATTCTCGTGAGAAAGACCGAGCCAGCCGTTTAACAATGAATATTTTACCGATGTTATCAGATAATCTTTCTGTAATAATTGTTGCATCATTATAATTCCTTGTTCACGTAACTTTGCTCGTTGCATCTGACAATACATAGCTCGACGTAAAGTTTCGACATCTCCACTGTCCTCGGTAATTACAAAATTTATAATATTTACCATTAATTCACTCGAATCAATATTCAAAGTTTTTTGTTTCATCTTTTCAGTTATCTTAGCAAATGTTTTTTTATTACCTGATAAATTTTCTAATTTTGGTGAAATTGACGAATGTTTTCCGTTCATTTCTTTCTGTATTGAATTCTGAATCGGAATTGAAATTGGAGTCAAAGTTTGTATTGGTGTTGACATTGTTAATGTAGTCGTTGGTGTCGGTGTTGGTGTTGATGTTGTTGTCATTGTCGTTAATGTCATTGTCATTGTAGTCATCGTTGATATAGTCGTTGTCATCATTGTCGAAGCTATAGTTGCCATGACTGGCGTCGATGCCATTGTTGTTGTAGTCGTTGTTGTCGTCATCATTGTTATAGACACATCTTCGTCAGATTTATTTTTTATTTTCGCATTTTGAATTGAAGCATTCAAAATATCTTCCGGTTTACTTGGTGAGTCTTTGTTTTTTCGAATATCTCTGATTATTGTTTTAACAGTTTTCCGAAATTTTGCAACAGTATATAATAATTTTAAATCATGTAGTCCTTTGATTTCGTAACTTGTCGCTGATCTTACTTCGTGTAAAAGAAATCTGCATTTTTCTTGTGCTGGAGCACATACTTCTTTATAACTTCTATTTTGTTGTTGTCTAATTCTGATTAAATTCCATTTTGTTTGATGAATTATTCTAATCATTTCAGCCAATTGTTTCGTGAGTCTTGGACTGTTTTCATTTCCTGTTTCTTGATGATCGATCAAATTTATCACCTGATAACCCAAAGCAAGATGTTTTATTATAACTGCCATTAAAAGTCGGCTAACTTCTTCAACTGGATGGTCACCGCAAAACTCAGTATGTGCTAAAAGATTGTTCGCTTTTGAATATTTATCAATAATCGTTAAAAATGACTGAACTTGAGCATCGGTTTTATGAGTTTCAGCTAAAGCATAAATGAATGTTGTAACTCGATCATCTTCTCGACGTTCGTTCTTTTGCAATTCGTTTTTTATACGCGTAGGAAGTGGAGGTTCTGTGGGTGAATTTGCAGCTGTCGAAGTATTACTTCTCGCTTCTCCTTTCTCTTCTTCATAAGGATTCGGTGGTTGTAAAATTTGTAATCCACCTCTGAAGAAATTCGCATTTAACCAGCGACCAGCTTCCTCTTCAGCAGTTTGTAAAGGTAAACTTTGTCGCTTTCTGTGAGCATGTAAGCCTAAAAGAAAGCCTAAAGCTCTTTCTGTATCAAGTAAACAAGAACATATATCCATTACATCGATTTTAACCTCCGTGTTTTCTGGTTCAGAATGGCAATAATAACCAACAAAATAAGAATCCATCATATTTCGCGATACTTGATCACGAGAAAATGATACATTCGTCTCACCACTGGAATTAACATCCCAACTAGTAGCAGTTCTTTGAAGACCTTCCAGGGAATTTGATCTTTCGTCAAATCGAACATCTTGAATATCATATACATTATTATTCACTACTACCCAAAAACCGCCATCACGATTGTGATTTTCTAGATCGGCCCAACGAATAGTAGTAGGTTCGTCTGAAATTGATATTTTATTACCATGCTGTGGAGCTATGATACCTGGCCAAGAAAGATCATCTGTCTCACTTTTCTCGATTGTTGGTATTAATTTATTGAATCGATTGAGTGCATCTAATATTGGTGCCATTACCTCCATCCAATTCATATTAAGCAATAATAATGGATAATCGTGTTGCAACAAAATAAGACATGTAATCAATTCAGGTAATAAAACACTTATAATGTCACCTCTTAAAACAGTAGTAACTAGTATAAACTGTTTGATACAAGTATTGGCTAATTCAACGGCAAACGACATTATTTCGGTTACATGAATAGAAATTTGTGAAAGATATTTTTTTAAAAGCAATTCTGCTCCAAGCATCTCTTGATCACGTAATTTTTTTGTTCCAACATCATCGATACACTCGTATAATTGTGCAATTAATAATCGTTGAAATTTTAAAAGGAGATTCAAGCTAGGAGAATTATCGCTTCTTTGTGATTCTTCGAAATTGCGAGCCAATTGATGAGTTATTAATAATTTTGATTGCGTAATACAGGTACCATTTTTGATCAATTGTTTCACCAGTTGTAACAATGATATACTTGTATTATTTTTTTCCGAATTTAATTCTTTTGCCTGTTTTGTATCGGTTGATTTGCTAGCATTATTATTCACAGAAAATTCTTTTTCGTCAGCAAGCTCACTTGTTTCCGCTTTTACAGCAATCTTCAATGCCAATTCCAAGCCACCATCTGCCATTAAACTAGATACTAGCAAATCTGCCATGAATTGTTGACCATTATTACCGTTTATTTGTTCAAAATTATTGTAATTCGTTTTCGACAAAAAATTTGATAATGTTTTTGCGCGTTCATTCGCCGTCGGTAATAAAATGCTCCAGCCAGTTTGTAAAACAGCTTGAGCTGCTTCTTGAATTGTTGCTAAAATATCGATGCTGCTTGCAAGCATAACGCATCGCTGTTTCAAAGAGTTTAATAATGGTGTATTGGCCAATCCCACTGATTTACTATCGATATTATGCGTTATCATAGTATGCAATTGCAATCGAATTAAATTCAATGTGGCGACCGCTAAACATTCACGATCTTGAGTAGGTGGTCGTGTGCTTGGTAATCCTTCGCATGCCTTGTTCAATAATGTATCTAATAATCGAAAAGTTTCTTCGCAAATATCTACAACAAATGCTACCCTGTTCGCTACTGACCAAGCTGATGTACACCAAGCAAAACTTTGCGTTGGTCCACAAGCTAAACCAATTACATTTTTCCCAGATAATGTTGGACATAAAGTCGGTTCGGGTACAACAGTACCTAATGCCGGATCAATTTGACCATAATCATTTCTACCCCAACCATATACCAATTGATCTTCCGTTAATGCTAATACATGCAAGTTTCCTACATATAAGTCTTTTACTTTTTTTGTCTTCAATATATCAATAATTTTCGGATATCTAACATGATCTTCATTTCCGTGTCCCAATCTATAAGCTTCTCCCTTCCCCCAAGTATATACTTCACCATATGCGGTTAAAGCTGCCGAAAATTGTCCACCGCAATAAACTTTTGCCACATTTATATCCAATAATTTATCCACTATCTTTGGTGTTTTAGATCCATCGCAACCTCCTCTACCAAGCTTCCCATAATTTCCATCACCCCAGGAAAATACTATACCAGAAGCTGTGACACATAATGTTTGAGAATCTCCGCTACCACATGCCACATATACGACCATGTGCCCATTTAGAGCAGTTACTAACGTAGGAATCATTACGTTGTCTGAATTTCCGTGACCCAATCTTCCGTAATTTCCTCTTCCCCAAGTGTACAATTCACCATTTGAACTGAGAGCTGCCGAATACGTACTTCCACACGCTATAAATGTAATATTCTTTTCAACTAGAGCCTCAATTAGCTTTGGTTCATCATACCATGCCCTATCTCCATGACCTAGTCGTCCACCGTCGCCATTTCCCCAAGAATAAACGGAATTATCTTGGGTTAATGCCAAATAATGTGTACCATCTGAATGTGAAGCAATCATTGTAATCGGCTTTTCCGAAAATCCATATATTTTTTGAGGATATTGAGTTTCTGATCCATAATACATCATATAAACATTTCCATTAACCGAAAGAATCATTAGAGCTCTTTCGGTACAACAAAGTTGTTTAATGCCAAGCTCAGCAATTGTATCGTAATAAAATGGAGAGGATCCATTACCAAATTTCACACTTCCCCAAGCTATAACTTCTTGAAAAGTTTGATTATGATTTTTCTGAAATCTATCAGCAATAATAGGAGGCAAAAGAGGAGCAGCTAATCTGCTTAGATTACACATTATTATAACTGCAGCTTTTCGTAAATCTACGGATGTAGAATCATCTTCGGGAAGTCTTAAATATTTAAGTAAAACTTCACAAGGACCTGGTGCAATATTTGTATCTATTCGATGTGATTTAGAAGCTGGTATCATATTTAATCGTCTTAATAATGGTACCAATGGTGCCATACTTCCAGGTGGCATTATTCGGTTATCTTGATGTTTATGTTTACCACTCAAATGAAGTAGCAAACATACAGAATCTAATAAACTTGATAATGTAGCTCTCTGTGTCACCAATTCTAATAACAAACAAAGAGCAGTGTGTTGATCAGCAATTGGAATAGGACACCATGATCTTCCACTAACTATATCTCTAAAAACAAAGACAATTTTCATGTAACAAAAACATGACAAAGAAATTAGTAACAAAATTTAATGATAATTAAAATAATGAATTATAAAATACCCTGTAACAACTTGTCTCAAAAATTTTGCTGATCGTTCTACAACTTCTAACCATACTTGAGAAACATTAGTTTCATCAAAAAGCGTAGCTTCGGGTAATGATTGTAAAGCTTCCAATGATTCAGATAAAAGTTCACTGCAAAATTCTACATCTTCTCCTGATCTCCAAGCTCGTCTTAAATATGCAAATGAAAAATTTAGTGCTGCACGAGATCCTACACGTGCTAAACCTAATGTAGGCTTCTCATTCGATCTTACACTGAAATTATATATGTTTTAATAATATTCATTTCTAATATATTGATAATATATTTTTAAATATAAAAAAAATACTAATTTAAACAATATATAATTAATAATCAATTAAAATCATGCATATATACATGCGCATAAATTTATAATCTAAATGCATTCATGATATTTAAGATATTTTATAATGTTTATTATATAAATAAAAAATATTCTAATAATTTCTAATAATTTAATCTTAATATTGATTATTATACATTTTTTGTAACTTGATAGTAGGTTTTGATGTTGTTGAAATATCTTTAGTTTCTTGAGGTTTATGACGAGAATGGGCCATAAAATATCGTCGTGCTATTACCAAACGTTGTCTTAATCTTATAGCAGATAATGTATTGTTTGCAACTTCATAACATAATTTTCTTTGCTCCTTAATTAGTAATTTAATACATGTTGTTAAATCGTGAATAGCTGAAAAATTTATGTTATAAAAATATATGTTATATAAAAAATATATGTTTTATGTTATAAAAATACTTAGGACTTAATAATAAATTATATATTTTAATAATATTTAATACAGAACATTTTTATATATTAAAATTCTTTACATGGCTGAGAACCCCAAAGCCAAGAATCCATTACATGTTCAGCTATCATATTTTTTTCTATAAATGCACTTGTTCTTGCTGCTTCTTCTTCATCTAATTTTTGACATGGTCCACAATTACATCCATGTTGTGGACCACAAATTCCATTGCAACAAGGACATGTTAATACACCCATATTGCAATAATAATGTCCACTTTCACCTGAAAATATTAAAATAATATTTAATTAATCAATATTTAATTGATGTACCATATTTTTTATACCTTTTCTAGCTATTATCCCTGCTGTATTGACTAGGCTGTCACTAAAAGAACCTACAATTTCTCCATCTCGTATCATTTCATTCCAAAGTTCAGCTAAACCATCTCGATAAAGTAGACGTTTCAAATCTGTTTTGAGCCATTTTGCATCTAAGCGAATTTCTGGCCTCATTGTAATATCCAATTGAATATTCATATTAATCTTTTATATATATCATTAAATTTTCAAAAATCAATGAAGTTTAATTTATAAAATTCTAAAACATACGTTTTGAGAATGAACTAAATTTTTTACATTATAATACATAACTAAATATATATATTATATACAATTTTTTTATTGTTTAATCAATATATAAACTCATTTATTTTCTTATAATTTTCTATAATTTTCTTTTTTCCGCTTTTTCTTTGAAATAAGTTTCTAACTTAGTTTTTAAATAAAATGAAATTTTATTTTTAAAGAATTCCCAGTAATTCACACTATTTTTCATAGGTTAGTCAAAATATGTACTTTTGACTTTTTTAAACAGGTACATTTGGAAATTTGCAACTTTGTCTTATGATAAGACAATTGATGTTTATTGGAATCAATAGTTATTTTCTTTGATACTTTAATAAACTGATTTTGCCTAACAAATTTACATATGATTTGAATTGTCACTGCTTAATAATATCTTAAGTTTCAATATAATTGTATTTGATCGCGACATTACCAAATTTAATTTTTCATAAAAGATTATATCTTTGACTGTGTATTGATCGTAAAAATATAACTCAGACAAAAGATACAAAATCGTAATAACAACGAACAATATATATATATATATATACTTAGATACTAATGAAATTTATCGCCAATTTCTTTGGAAAAATAGTTACATTGTATTGTAATAAAACTTAGAATGACTGTATTGTATATGTACAATTTATGAAAGTACTACACAAATCAACTGTGTATTTATAATGCGGTGTGATATATAGATTTTAAGGATACTAAATAAGTAATTTTTAACATATTTAAATGTTTTATTTAAAAATATATTAAAATGTTTAATACTGTGAAGAATTCTATTAAATATGAAATTAAAAAATATGGTGAGAAAAAGAAAATAAAAGTAATAATAAATTATAGGTTATTGTTCCAAAATTATAAATGCAAATAAAAATTATTTATATTATTTTAATATTAATTAAAATTTTAGGACAACGGAAATATATACGACACTCATTAGATATAATTAAAAATAATTTAAATCGACAAAAAACTAAAGAATCATTAAGTATTTTTTATCGATCATGTGGCCAACCAACAATAACCACACATCCTCATTTAATAAAAGAAGGAGAAGTAGTACCTGGTATTCAACTTTGTGAATTCAAAAAGCGACGAAATAAATTGATAGAGAATATTATTTCACATGCTTATATCACAAATCTAACCAAATCACATATTGTGATTATTCCTTCTTCGTCTAAAGTATACATGTCTGGCAAAATTCCATATATTTTTCGACAAAATACAGATTTTCTATATTTTACTGGTTGTCAAGAACCTAATAGTATTTTGATAATTACAATAAAAAATGAAAATTTTGTAACTACTTTATTTTTAACACAACAAGATGAACATTCTGAACTATGGGATGGACCTACAACTAAAGTTGAAATAGCACCTGAAATGTTTGGTGTAGATACAGCACTTCCAATAATAGAGTTAGAACAATTTTTTATTTCTTTTATGACTGAAAATAAAAATAGTATTATTTGGTATGATACTATTGATATAATACAAACAAATTTACACAAAAAATTAAATGAATTAGTGAAAATAACAAATTGTCAAACTCTTTCTCCAACAAATATTATGCATAAAATCAGATTAATTAAATCACAATCTGAAATAGATTTAATGAAAAAAAGTTGTAAGATTATTTCAGCAGCAATGTCTAAAACTATAAAAATATCAAAACCCAAAATGAGTGAACATCATCTATTTGCAACTGTGGATTATGAATGTCGAATGAATGGAGCAGAATTTTTAGCATATCCACCAGTTGTTGCTGGGGGAAAAAATGCTAATATTATTCATTATATTACTAACAATCAAATAATTCAAGATGGAGACATGGTTTTAATGGACGCAGGTTAGAATATTTATAAATGAAAAAAATATTCTGTTTTTAATTTCTTTGTTGTTTAAAAATTTTTTTAGGTTGTGAATATCATGGTTATTCATCTGATGTAACCAGAACATGGCCAATTAATGGAACATTTACTCAAGAACAAAAAATTTTATATGAAATAGTATTAGATATTCAAAATATTTTAATTCATAAATTAAAAGAATTACCTTCATTAGATCAATTATATCATGATATGTGCTCTTTATTAGGCAAAAGATTACAAGAATGTGGATTAATACCAAAACATTTAAATAAAAAAGAATTATTTTCTACAGTTTATTCTTATTGTCCACATCATGTGAGTCATTATTTGGGAATGGATGTGCATGATACAGGAAAAATTTCTAGGAATTTAAAACTTCAGCCAGGAATAATAATCACAATAGAACCTGGTAATATATCTTAGATCATCTTAATAATATATCTTATATCAATTTTTTTATAATAATTAATATTTAAAATAATTTTACTTTTTATTATTTATAGGTATATATGTTAATCCTAAAAATCAATTTGCTCCACCAGAATTTGTTGGTTTAGCTGTTCGTATTGAAGATGATATTTTAATAACAGAAAATGGTCCAATAATTCTAACAGAAGATTGTCCAAAAGAAATTTTCAAAATAGAAGCTTTAGCGAGTCAATAGTTATAATAATGACTGTATATAATTTTCAAATACAATAAATGTAATATATTTAATTTCTAAATATATTAACTTAATATAACTATGTAATAATTGATGTATAAATTATTCTATTTTATTTCAGATAAGAATTGTACATAAGAATTAATAACATTGAAAGTTATATATCTGTAATCAATAAAGAATAACTAAGAGGAGTAATAATATAATGTACACAAAAAATATTAATATGAACATTTATATAAAATTCATATAAATTCATGTAAATTCATATAAAATAATAACTCAAGTACGATTAATAAAATGATTACTATAAATTTGTAAAAAACAATATAAATGATATTTAGTAGAAAAAAAAATTTAATATCAAATACTAAATTAGCAACTAAATATTTATTATATATTGATATATATATAAATTTATACGAATAATTAATATATTGTAATATGAATTATTTAATATTAATTATATTTTTAAAATGTAATGAAATTTTGAAATGTGATTCATAAAATTGAATCGTAAATTAATCACTAAATTAGTATTAAATAATTCAAATCTTTTACACAATAAGATTCTTTAAATTAATATCAGCTTGTTTTAAAGCAATGTAATTTTTTAACTGTTTTACTCGTAAACATGCCCAAACTAGATGATCATGCAATGCATGAATTTGAGCAGCTGCTAATGCTGCACTTTCAGGATAGATTACTGTAGTGCATCCAATTCCTAAAAATTTAAAAAATTCTATTTAATAATATATATATTATAATTATTTTTTATAATAAAAAATATAATTAAATTATAATTGACAATTCACCTGATGGAACATTGATTGATGACCATAAATCTTGGGAAATATTTTCTGGTTTGAAAGGTGGACAATTAATGACAGGCAAAGATGTATTTCCAGAGAGTACTGGACCTAATCCATTACTTCTCCCTGCTACAGCTATTAGCACTATCTAAGAGAAAAATGTGTACAAAAAAATTTGTGATAATTTAGAAATAAATATTACACATTTATTAATATCAGTTTTATTGTTCTAATTGCTTATTTTTTTAATGATTAAAAATTTCAAAATATATGTATATATATTTAATTATTATATATATTTATATACATTTATAAAAATATATATATACAGAGTATATGTTCTATTTAAATTGATTTAGGCAAATATTAACCAAATTATTTTGACAATATAATTTTTATTTGAAAAAAATATTTTAAATAAAAGTTGAATGAATATATAAATGACATGATTAGTTTTTTTATAGATGAATATATAAAAAAATAATTTTAATTTTTTTAATACAATCATATAATTTTTATTGCACTAATGAAGCTTATTTTCTACTAAATTATTATATCAAAAAATTTTTGGAGATGTATTAATTTTAAATTTATAAAATTATCATATAAAAAATAAGATAAATATATAATATGATATTCTATTGTATATTATTTTTACAAATTTTAAAGTAAAATATTTTTTAAACTTAAAGATTTTTATAATAACTTAATACTTTTTTGTAAAAAATAATAAGCTGCATCAATTAATGCAATAAAATTATATAATATAATATAAATTATAAAATTATATAGTTTCTTTTAAAAAATTAAAGTTGTTCTTTATATAATTTCTATATATTCATCTACAAAAAAATTAATTATTTATATATTCCCTAAATTATTAAACTTTTATTTAAAAATTATTTATTTTTTTGTATTGTCAATAATTTGACAAATATTCAAATTTAATTTAATTGGGACATTCTGTATAATTGATTATGAATTCAAATATAATTATTAATGTAATATATATAATAAATTGATCTTTACTATTATTATTATAAGTATATACTATTATTATAATGTAAATATATAATATATTTTAAAAAAAAATTTTTTACAAAAAAAATATAAAAATAAGTTTAAAGTTATAATTTAAAAGATTTAATTATAAAAATTAAGATTTATTTAAAAAATAAAAAAATAAAAAATTATACATAAAAAATATTATATATAAAAATTATAATTTATTTTTTGAACTAATAATATATACCTTTTCATAAGTACCTTCGTATTCTGCAAGAATACGCAATGTTTCTTGAGTACCTTTGTGAGCGCTGCAAACACGAAATTGAACTTTTAAACCTAAAGATTTTGCATGTTTTGCTATTTCTTTACAGTGGCCTTCATCAGAAAGTGATCCCATTAAAATAACAACAAGACTACTAGATAAAGGAAGAAGATGGTCAAGTTGGTCTTGTATCCATTTAAAATTACATTTTACAGTGTTCAAATCTTCTTCAGTAACAATATCTAAATTTCTATATACCTACAAACAAAATAAAAGATCAATAAAAACCAAGATAATAAAATATTATCTTCCTTTATAGGATAATTTTACTAAATACCTGTTTATCTTTCATTAATCTTTTATCACCAGATGGCCAAAGTCTCCAAGAATCACTATCAATTATATCTGCTACCATAATTTCATTATTTACATTCACACCAAATTCTATTTTCATATCTATAAGTGCACAATCTCTACTCGCCCATGTTCTTTCTAAAACTTCAAATACAGTAAGTGCAGTATGTTGCATAATATCAAATTCATCTTTTCCTATTATGAGTTCATTCAATTTAAAACCAGCAGAAATAATTTGTTCCTCTGACCATTGAGGATCATGATTAATATCATCTTTAAAGAATGTTTCTTGTAAAGGTGGATTAAATCTATAACCTTCAGGAACACCTAAATAATAAAAAATTAAAATGAAACATTGAAAATAAATGCTTATAATAAAAATTTTTTTCAAGACTTATTTTTGTTATTTTATCACATTGTTATATTGTATGTTTATATTGTATATTTATATTATATATTATATTATATATTATACCTTGATGTCTTTTTAAGAAACTGCCAGTGGCTAATCTTCGACTAATCCATTCAATTGGTAGCATTTCACATTTTTGGGCAACAAAAACAGTATCATTTACCAATTCAACGAAAGCTGTTTTTATTCCAGCTTTATTTAATAATTGAAATACTTTAGCTGTAGTAGCTGTACTAATTGCAGCTTTTCCTTTTAAATTATGAAATTTTTTACCATCTTCAGCAGTAATACAATCCTTACTTTGTAAAAGACACAAAGTAGAATCATTTAGAACTTCATATACCTTTTTGGTCTTTCCTTCAATAATGAGTTTTCCATATTTATATTCTAATTAAATGGAATATGAAATATTAATATTAGTAAATTGAATTTTATAAAAAAAATTATGTTTAATAAGAATTTTAAACTATATAGTTCAATTTTTATATAATACAACATAATATATTAATTAATATTAAATTATTTATCAATATATTAATATCAATATTAAATTTAAAATAATAATAAAAAAATTATTTTATAATATAAAAATATAAAGATATTATGAATGTCAAATCATTTTGTTACATTTAAAAAAATTTTATATAATTTCATGATTAATGATATTATATTATTGATGTTATATAACATAATTAAATATGATATATATAATTATATTTTTATTAAATTTAATTTTTTTCAATTAATTAAAAATGATATCAAAATAAAGGATTCATCTATTTAATGATATAAATTTTGAATTAAATTTAATTTTATAATTATAAAACTAAACTTAAAACTAAACTTCTAAAATACAAATTGTAAATATTTCAAATACAATAAAATCTTTCACTTGTCACATTAAATGAGATTGTGATTATAACTTTACATTTTAATATATATCTTAAAATACAATAATTATAAAATAAAATCAATTATGTATATGAATATATGGTTTTGAAACGAAATATTTTGAAACTTAAAATTAATATTTATATCAATAAATTAAATAAAAAAAAAATTATTTCATTTTTTATAATCATATCTTTTCTTCTTTTATTAAATATAATAAACTTAGTCGTTTTTTTAGTAAATATAAAATCTATTATACTATATACTATTTATTATATTATACTTACTATTCATGTTTCTCGTTTAGAATTTATTTTAAGAATATTATACAATTTCTCAATTCTTGAACAATTAAGTTCTTTAACGATCCCCACTTTCAAAATTCTTCTTTCTTTGATTGGTGCTTATTCGTTATTGCGAGTTTATTGGTAAATCATGATATCATATAAAGAATAATTATCGAAAAAATCATAAAATTAAAATATACTGAATAACTTTTCTAAATTATTCTTAAAAAAAATTTCAAAAATTTTATTAATCACTAAAAAGTAAAAATAGTTAACAATAACAAAATATTTATTTTAAATATTATTATTATAATATATTTATTTTAAATATACAATATATATTAAAAAGAAAATTTCAGTTTATTTTTGAAAAATTTATAAATGATATCATAAAAAATCATAATAAAATTAATAAATACAAATAGGTTTTTACAATTATAATATATAGAAGATATTATAATATATTTTTATGTAAACTTGAATTTATGTTTATAAAAAATTTAGCTTATTTGAAAGTGATTGAAAAATTCTAAATAGTTATAATATAGAAATAGTTATAATGACTATTTTAAAAAAACAAGAAACTATAATTATTCAGATAAATTAGATACACGAAATAATAACAATAATAATAATAATAATAATAATAATAATAATAATAATAATAATATAGTATATTTATTATTTAAATAATAGATTATTATCGATTTTTCATAAAACTTTAAAGAATCATGTCCAGTACTTTATTAAATATAAATTAGTAATTAAAGAGTTTAAAAGATAATAGCTAAATAAGTTAACCCCTCCAATCAAAAACAGATTTTCATTGGTCTACATATTCATTTGTATATTTAAAGTCAGTTGAGAAACATATTTCATGCGGATCTTCTTCGAGTTGATAGCAAAACATCACAAACGTTTAAACCTTTGACGCACGTGGTACGTACTAACATACGTAATTTAAAATTTGTATACTTGTACTTAAGAGAAAATGTTTCGATGCAATAATCAATTCTAATGATATTATTAAAGAAATATAATAATGAAAATTTAATTAGTAAAAGAAATAATGTGAAAAAATATATCTATAATCTTTTTTCATATTAATTATAAAACCGCCAAAAATCTTATTTAACAAATGGGTACAGTCTGTAATAAAAAGATACCAATCATAGCACTGTCAGTAACTTAAACA